AAGGGATGGGGTTTGCAAACTCTTAAGAAGATCTCTTCAAGGAACCAAAAAAATAATTTGGGACTCTTTCTGGGGAGAAGGTGGAGGCAGAGAGACAGCTGGATTTCGGGCACAACACTAGAAGGGATTTAGAGTTGTCATTTCAGGTAACAATATAAGGGTGACTGTACCAGTACCTCAGGACATTGAATACTGTATATAGCGCTCAAATTCTATTTGAATAACTTGACAACAAAGATCTGGTAAATAAAGTCTTTCCCTTCTGCATGGCTCTAACCATGAAGATAGCAAGAAAACCTGAGAATTAATGAAACGCCCAGGTGAGCTGTGACTCACTTTTTCTCTTTCTAAATCCACAATGCAATTGCAATTTGCAAATTTGCAATTTACTATTGTACCTTCTCCTCAACAGCTGCAACATTTCACTTCTGGCAACACATATTCCCAACCACATATCTTCGAACAGAGTGAAATCCTTTAAGTCCAGCAAGAGCGGGCTTTGGAGCTAGCAAGGTCAGCTGGGGGGATCTTTGCTAGGCTCCTGAGGAAGGAACCAACTCAAACCTCTTGGTGAGACAGGAAACAATCTTTATAGGGGTATTTCTGCTTCATGCTCTGCTCTACATTTTCTCATAACAAAGCATTGAAATAAATAATAACAGAAGCAATTCTATTTTTCCCTCTGCAGGAAGAATGCCTGAGGAGGCCTCTGCACTATTTAATGTGATTGCTAGCTGAATGCCCTAAATTCTCCTCCGTGAATACCTCAGGAAGATGGTTCAATTTTGGATAAGACTTTCTCTAACAAATCCCTGAGAAATAGGATACGTAAGGGAGAAATTAGAGAGAAAAGATCACTCACAATACATGGAAGGAGTAGAGCCTCAGGTGATGATTTCTTTATCTTTCAGCATCTTAATTACTCTGGTTCTGTAGTTCTGGTGGGGAGGGGGCAGGGGTGGATAAATCCCTACAATGAAGCTTTGAAATCCTCTATCTTCAGGTGCCCATGCAATGTGTTTAAACAAGGCACGAACACTAGATGGCGCCCATAATCTTAAAACATCATAGAAGGCTGGTTGCCTTTTCTTTGCAGGCAAGTATGACTGCTTTGTGGGAAAGCTTTGTCAGTTACGGGAAATATAAAAATATCTACTCAAGTATTTCCCACTACTGGTGTCCTGTGAGGGGCTCCTTATGTAAGGAGTTGGCGGTCAAATATGTTTGGGAGAAAACATATAATTTATCTTCCTCTAAGAAGCTTCCCAATGCAAACTGGTAAACAGATGTTTTAGAGAAGTTCTTCAGTGAAGAAACCGGGTACCAGGGAATCCTCAGTAGCAACCTAATACAATCCAGTGTCTTGTGAAACACACTTTGGGAAATGCTGTTCTAGTCCAAGCCCTACCCCAAAGAAAGAATAGCTTAAACTGTCTAAAAGAGGCCTTTTTTGTATATGGTTTCTGATACTCTGAAAAATCAGACATAATCTTTTTTGTGTGTGAGGAAGATTGTCCCTGACCTAACATCTGTGCCAATCTTCCTCTATTCTGTATGTGGGATGCAGCCACATCATGGCTGATGAGTGGTGTGTAGGTCTGTGCCCAGGCTCCAAACCCAAGAACCCCGGGCCACTGAAACAGAGTGTGTGAACTTAACCACTATGCCACTGGGTCAGCCCCTCAGACATATTCTTCATGCAGAGTTGTTAGTAGTAATAGCAGTATTGATTGAGTACTTACAATATGACATGCTCTATTCTAACTGGTTCATCTCCTCTCTTTCCCCAGTATGCCATCTATACCTATATCTAGATCTATCTATGCACTCATACACATATTACACATATTGATATATCTGCTTTCAGGCTATGAACATTTTGAGGACAGAATATTTATCTCCTTCATCTTTGAGATTTCAAGTTCTAGTACAGAATCTGGCGCATAGTAAGCCATTAATAAAACAAATTATCTAGGAAGATTCTATAGTCTGTGTGGGAGAATAATTCTAGAAGATAGGAATGGACATCATGCCCCTGATTAGAAAGGTAATTGTCTATTATACAAGTCTTTTCTCTATGAAGACCAATTGAGAGCCGAGACCTACCTTTCGGTTCTGTTCGCTGGGGATTCTATTTCTCTTCTCTGAACTTACTATGTTAGCATAACTTATTCGCAAATTAATCTTACATGACCTAGTAATATGCATTGCATTTTGATTTAACTCTTGATTGCTATTTAGAGTGTGTGTTCTTGTGTTTTACAGGAAGATATAGTTTGTCCTTACATGTCCACTGCAAGCTATCGATGCAAAATATTATCTGCTAAAATCCATTGCTAATAATTCTATTCTGTCATTTTTTTCTATATTGTAATGTTTGAGTTTCTCAAGCTTGTTTATTCTTTTCTCACAGTGTTAACCAGTAAAATTCCAATACTGAGCTTTGAAATTAGCCACTTTCTAGCAACAATTTAAATAGATTTTCACAAGATACAAAGGAGAAATATTCCCTCTTCTTTTTTGATTGCAAAAAGTAGATAATATTTTCAACATCAAACTGTCCTTGCAAGTATTTTACATAAAAAAAGGATATAATATCTGAACTTCAGAGATTGTTAGATTCTATGAATGGCCATCTCTAAGGGAACTATATTCTGATTGATCGCCTTATTTGCTATATAGTCCTGGCAATAATATTTAAGTGGATACGTCTACTTTTGAAAGAAATACTTGTGAGTTTTCCTCCTTGAGCCATAAGAAGATTACTAGCTCATCCTTTTTCTACCACAGGTATAGAGGTTAAAATGAATAAAACCTACGGCTTCGTGGATTTCTCATTTAAACAGAGTTAAAGAGTCTGTCATCTCTGCCTCAGTGTCTTCATCTTTAAAATGAACATAATAAGCCATAGCATTGTTATAAAATTGAATTAGTTATAAGAGTGACTGACTCAAAAGTACCATGTAAGTATTAGCTTTTTATAGCTCTGTGTACTCCTAAGTGTGATGTGCACACAGAGCAGTGTGTACTAAGGTGTTGAGTGAGACCGTTGACAGGTTTTGAAGAGAGATTGTGCTGAGTGGAGAAAGAACACTGATTTTGGGTCAGGTGACCTGATTTTGAGTCCAACAGCATAGTCAGTAGCTGTGGAGTTTTGGACAAATCATTTAGTCTTTCTGAATCCCCTTCCCTGATGTGGAAAGTGAGAGTAATACAAACTTATCCTGACACTTAGAATTTCTTTGAGATTCCCCAAACTAATGCATGTGAAAGTGCTTCTGTCTGGGAAAGTGCTATGACAAATGTGAATGCTGATTATTACGAAATGACAGAGGGATCCACTAGGCTGCAGATTTTAAGCCAGGACGATGAAGACATGTAACTATATTCTAGATAGAATTTTAGAGTCTATCTCCCAGGCTATCGCGACTTTGTGAAGTATCATTATTTTTATTCAATACTTTTTCATTCAAAAAACACTTTTTTGAGAGACTGCTATGTGCCAGGCACTGTGCTAAATGTTGAGGATACAAAATCATATAAGATAGCGGATTTGCTTTCAAGGAGCTTTTGCCACTTTGGAGAGAAAGACAGACATGTACATAAATATGGGCAATAAGGTTTAATAGCTTATTAAATCCTTTAAGTTATATTTTATATATCATGTAAGTATAGAAGAAGAAGGTGGGAGAAAAAGTTGAAGGCGTCATGTTCAGCTCTTGGATGGCAAAACAAGATGCTGGCATGGGACGCTACAATTTCTCCCATACTCAATCCTACCAGACATCTGCTAACTGAGGAATGAGCACAGGCCTGTATGTGTGGCTGAACCACAGAAACACATAAAGCAAGGCCATGGATGCAGACCACTGGACACTTGACTCAGGTCAACTGACTACGTTATATAGGTAAATTCTGTGCATGTGTGGGGGGAATAGAGTGATGATTGACAATATAAGGTCACTTGGAAGATTCGACTATAAATCATAGCTGTAAAACAAAGACAAATTTTTCTAAATAAACAATGAAAACCACAAACTAAGTGCTTCATTGAGTTTTGAACCATAACCTCAGCCATAAGAATTGGGCTCCTTGAGTAATTCTCCACTATTATTTGCATGACAACCAAAATTTCAGTATGTGCATGAACACTTACAAGGGATTTGTCATAAAGTTTTTACTAGGGAGGTAGCTTGATGTAGTGGAAAGAAGCAGTCAATAAATATTTGGATAACAGAAAGGACTTGGAGAAGAAAGGAGGAGAGAAAGAAAGATGGAAGGAAGAGAAAAAGAGCAGGATGGAGGGAAGAAATAGAGGAGGAAAGAGAGAGTGTTGTGTGATGGGCATTAAAACTGAATATTTAAATTCCAGCTCTGACTGTAGTTAGGTAAACTTTGACGAGTTACTTAACTTCTCTGAACTTCATTCTCTTCATCTGAACATGGGGCAACACCTTTCAGGGTGATTGTGAGTATTAAAAATTGCTTTTATAAAATCCTTGGTAAATATAAATGCTTAATAACTTGTTGAGGGCAATTCTTATATTTAGGTAAACGATGATGTTACTACCACTTATCAATGCTACTAAATTGCATATGAAATTATTTTATGCATTTTCTTACATAGTTATATGCAACAAACTATATGTATTATAAAGGTGGAATTTCTAGAGTATCCTCTTAGATTTGGAAAAAAATCTGCAGTTTGAAAAATAAGTAATATACCTAAAAAAGGCATGCTTCTCAATGTTCTCTTGGATGCAAACATGTTTCAGAAAATCTAAATGTAAACACTGGCACCATTATCTGTATCTGAGGGAAGTAAGCAACAAGCATCAAGCCCCTGAACACCATTTAAACTGTAACATGCACCTGAAGCTGTAATGCTCTCATCCATTTTCCCTTTGTAATTAAGGTGCTTTTGGAGTCACAACTGAAAGTGACTTTTTCTTGAATGGTATCAGACATGGAGGGAATGAAGATTAAGGAGAAATACTCACAGATAAGATCTGGTCTCCTCTCTGGAGTTCCCCACTCAGGTCTGCTGGTCCACCGGCCAGAATGAAGGATACAAAAATACCTTCTCCGTCTTCCCCACCCACGATGTTGAAGCCCAGGCCAGTGGAGCCTTTGTGCAGGACCACCTTCCGGGGCTCCCTGCAGAAACAAGTAGAGAACACAACTCACAGAGTGACCCCCTCATGATTTAGGTTGCTTTTACATTCATTGAGATATATATCAGCAATTTACAATCTATGAAAATGGCTTCCCAAAGTAAGATACATTTGCACATCAAGAAAGATGCTCATATCAGGGCAGATATCTGAGTCCTTCACTATAACAAATGTCAAAATATCATGCAAAGTCTTTCCTTAATTTCAAAACATTTCCTTAAACTAGTCTTACCCCAATTTTCCTTTGTTTAAAACATCTGTTCTTACATTGAACACCACGTTAGTACTCAGGAGGATGGAGTATTCAAAAAGAGAGAGAGAATCTGGGGGACAGAGTCTAGATTGAATAGGCCAGACCAAGAAAGATCTTACATGTCAGCCTGTGGGTTTTTTGTTTGTTTGATTGTTTGTTAATTAAAATATACTCTGTGGGCAAAATGGACTCATTGGAAGATTCTGAGGCACCAAGAATATTTAAATGCATGTAGGAAAATTAACAAATGGTCATATATAGGATTGATGGAGAAGGAAGTGCAGATATGATGGGAGGCAGGAAAATCAGTTAGGATGTTGACCAAGTAATCTAGGTTTGAGGAAGTGACAGCCTGAGCAAGGGTGACTGCAGTGATAATGAAAAGAAAGGGCAACATTAGACAGGAAATTTGAAGGGAGAAACAGTGGGTCCAGAGATCGACTCAAGCATTGAAGGACGAGGGGAGGAAGAATGTCTAAGTAACAGGCAAAAGGAGGGAGGGGAATGGAATCCAGGGTCATGAGGATGAACACGATTTTGACAAGCTCAGTTGCAGGAAATGGTGGGACATCCATGTAGACGTGTTTGGAAGCAGTTGGAAACAAAGGATAAGAATTTAGGTCCTCAAAGAGGACTGCAAATGCAGACTTGAGGGTCATCAATAAAAGGATGAGTGATCAAATCTTGAGCCAACAGTTCACTGCATTGTATAGAGGCCAGAAAATTATGAAATATAGAATTGTAAGGGATCTTAGAAGGCAACTAGCTCACCTTTCTATATCAGTAGTTTTTAAAATGTATTTTGCAAGCCTTAGGTTTGACCAAGGTGTTTTTTGTATCACCCATCCTTTTCTCCCAAATATCTCAGCTCCAATCATTAAAGTTCCTCTTCTATTTTTGTGCTCTTAATAATATAAGAATGACAAAGAGCCATCCAATATATTTTTATACTATTGATTACACCAAGACTCTGTTATTTGCTACCACATTCCCATGCACAAAGAGAAGCATTATATCTATATTTAGCCTTATTATGAGGAAGGCTGTAAAATGCACATCATAGCTTGGACTATATGTAGTATGTTACAAAGCGATGCATTGAGAGGTAACTTGACATAGAGTTCATTCATTTTACTCTACAAATACTTTGCAAGCACCTACTATGCCAGGAACCATTCCAGGTTCCCAGAAAGTTTGTAAGCAAAACAAATATCCCTACGCTTATGGGCTTATATTGTAATGGAGGTAGACCACTAATAAGGAATAGATATAATAAGTAAATTTGTTATATGGTATGCTAAAAGGCAAAAAATATTTTAGAGAAAAAGAAAAAGGAGAATAGTGTAAGAAAGATTGTGGCAGGGATGGGCCTGGGTAGGATTCATTGAGAAGGTGACATTTGAGGAAAGATCGAAGAGGTGAGGAAACTAGTCATGTGAATATCTAACGAAAGAGCATTCCAGCCATCAGGAACAGCCAACGCAGAGGCCCTAATGCGGGAGGGTGCCTGATGTTGTCAAGGAAGAGCTAGGAAGCATGTGGTTGAATGAGTCAACGAGGAAAGGACAATGGTAAAAGATGAAGTAGTCAGTGTAGGAGTTTTCTATTGGTGAGTAACAAATTACCACAAGCTTAGTGGCTTAAAACAACACCAGTTCTGTAGGTCAGAAGTCTGGGTGGGCTTGTCTAGGTTGTCTGGCTAGGATTTCATAAGGTTGAAATCAAGGTATTAGCCAGGCTGAGCTTTATTGGGATGCTCTGGGGAAAAATCTGCTTCCAGATTCATTTAGGTTGTTCGCAGAATTCAGTTTCTTGTGGTTGTAGGACTGTATTAGTCAGAGTTTTACAGAGAAACAGAACCAATAGGATATATAATTTTATTATAAGGAATTGGCTCATGCAGTCATGGATGCTGAGAAATCCTGGGATCTATAGCTGGCAAGCTGGAGACCCAGGGGAGCTGATGGTGTAAGTTCCAGTCTGAGTCTGAGTCTGAAGTCAGAAGACCAATGTCCCAGCTCAAAGATAGTCAGAAAGAGAGAGCAAATTCTTCCTTTCTCTGCCTTTTTGTTCTATTCAGGCCTTCAATGAATTGGATGGGGCTACCCATACCAGAGAGGGCAATCTGCTTTACTCAGTATGTATACTGATTCAAATGTTAATCTCATCCAGAAACACCCTCACAGACACACCTAGAATAATGTTTAACCAAATATCTGGGAACCCCTGGCCCAGTCAAGTTGACATATAAAACTAATCATCACAAAGACTGAGGTCCCTGTTTCCTTGCTGGCTGTCAAGCTGGGAGCCTTTCTCAGCTTCTAGAGGCCTCCCGTATTTCTTGCCGTGTGGCCCTCTCTACCTTCAAGCCAGAAATGCTACATTAAATCCTTTTCACATTTGGATTCTCTCTGGCTTGCTCTTCTGCAACTAGATGGATATAACTTCCTGCATTTCAAAGGTCAGGTTAGGCCCATCTAGTTAGTTCCTTATCTTAAGATCAACTGATTAGCAATCTTAATTACATTCGCAAAATCCCTTTTCCATGTAAGGTAATTTAACTGTGGGAAGAATAAAGGAGGTGGAGATCATGGGGCCATCTTTTTTTGCCTACTATAGGCAGAGAGGCAACAAGGGACAATCCTGAAGGGCCTTGTAGACCATTTTAAAACTCAGATTTTTACTCTCAGAAAAATAGGGAGCTACTGAGAAGAATTATTTGATCTGATTTACATTTACAAATGATTACTTTGGCATAAAATAGATTGAAGAGGCAAAGATTGAAGAAGTGAAATCATCCAGGTGACTATTGCTATATTCAGGCAAAATATAACAGTGCTTTGTACCAGAGTGGTATGAGAGAAAGTGGTGAGCAGTGGATACATTTCCAGTCTATTTTCTCTTTCTGTTCAGATTAATTCCTGTTTTTCTATCTTCAGATTCATTGATTCTTTCTTCTGTCATATTTATTCTGCTATTGAGCCCATCCAGTGAGTTTTTTATTTTGGTTATTGTATCTTAAATCTTTAACATTCTATTTGGTTCTTCTTTATATCTTCTATTCCTTTGCTGAGACTTCCATTTTTTTTTCTCATTTATTTCGAATGTGTTTGTAATTGCTCATTGGAGCATGATGGCCATTTAAAATCCTTGTCAGATAATTACAATGTCTGTGTTATCTCAGTGTTGGTATCTGTTGACTGTCTTTTCTCATTCAAGTTGAGATTTTCTGGTTCTTAGTATGAGAAGCGATTTTTTATTGTATACTGGACATTTTAGGTGTTATGTTGTGAGACACTGGATCTTATCTAAGATTACAATTTTCTGCAGGTAGCAGATTGGTTTAAGCATAGTGTGCAAATCCAAGTGAGATGGATATTTAGCTCCCTACTTGGCCCTGGTGACAGCAGGGAGGAGAGAAAGTCAGGTACCAACTAGTATTCTACTTATTTTACCTCATTGCCACTGGGGGTAGGGTTGAAGCTCAGTTCCTTTTGGGCTACTGACACCAATGAGGGAGAAAAAATGGGGTGCTGACTAGCACCACCTTGAATCACCTCATTTTGCCTCCTTGCCTCTTGGTGGGGCTAGAAGTTCAGCACCCCACTGGGCCCCATTGACACTACCCTGGCAGGTAAAGTGGTTTGCCAACTAGCACTACTTCCCTCTTCCTTCTACCTCATCGCCACTGTCTGGGGGTGGAAGTTCAGCTCCAGCTGGTCCCTGCCAATACCAGGAGTAGGGGAATGGAATCCTAACTAGCACCATTTCATTACTACTTGTTGCTGCTGGGTAAGGTGCAAGTTCAGCTCCCCATTGGAAAGTGGAGTGTCAATGAGCACCATTTCATACCACTTTGTTCTGCCTCTTTGCTGCCAGATGGGGGTCGAAGTTCAGCTCTTGTTTGGCCCACTGACACCAGCCCAATGGGAGAAGTGGAGGGCCATCTCATTATTGCCTCTCCCGGCTGTCTCTGATGGGGCCAGAAGTTTAGCTATCTGCATAGTCCACCGGTACTGTAAGGGTGAGGGGACAGTTTTTCCTTTAATGTTTGGCTAGGGTAGGGCCAGTATTATCAAAAGGTTCCTTGTTCTATCAGTTTACCCTTTACCCGGCCCTTTGGTTATAGGGAGCAGGCTTTTCTTGAGGCTTTTTTTGTCTGTGCCTGCTGTCAGTTCCGGGGGGTAGGTTTCTCCAGGGCCACATCCAGAATGTTTGGTAAAAAGAAGAAAAATCCAGGGAGCTCACAGCAGTGTTATTCCTCTCCAAGCCAGTCTGACTTCTTTCCAACTTTTAGAGTCATCTTATGCTTATTTGTTTTATTGCACCTAAAGTTGTTTTTGTTTTTTAATAAGAGTTAGAATTAGAGAGGAATGGGGTACTCTATTTTGGTGGAAGTCCAGGTGCTGGATACATTTTGAATGTAGGGGCCAACAGGATTTTGATGGAAAAGTCATCATAGAAATATCCTTCTTTCCTCAGTATAAACACACACACCCTTAGTGGGTTCAATGACATTCTAGTTATACAGAGTAAACAGGGATGGAGGGAAGGGGGCTACTATGACTCTGTTTGTGTATGTGCTAGATATTGTGCTTGATGCTTTCTGTGCATCATTCCATTTATTCTTCAAAACAATCCAATGAAGGATGTATACTGATGTCTGTAACTACTTTGAAACTGATCCACAAAGGAAGATGGATTGGCCATTGGTTAGATGGATAGGAATG